CAACCTTTTGGTTAGCAGCCAAGCTCTTAACTACTGCACCATCAGGGCTCCATAAGCACAACGGCTAATATTTACTGAACACATATTACATGCCAGGTATGTTCTAAGCACCACGTACATATTATTTCATTTAATCTTTATAATAACCATATCAGGTAGGATGGCAGAGACTGCTAATTGTCCCCCAAAACATACTCTCATTTTCCTCAGTAAGGAAACCTCTGGATTTTAGCCAAGCATATGGCCACCCTTTTATCAGCCTCTTACAGCTAGATGTGGCCATGTGACTAAGTTAAACCTGATGAGATATAAGCAGAAGTGGTTTGTAACTTCTTAGAAGTGTTCTTCAACAGAGAGGATGTGCCCTTCCCTTCTCCTCTTTCTTCCTCCTACTGGCTGGAGGAAAGGCATGATGGCTGGTGTTGGAGCAGTCATATTAGACCATGAGGTGAACCTGAAATGGAAGTCTCGCACAGCAGAGCAACAAGATAGAAGCCTATTCCCTGGGCTCTTGGAGAGAGAAAAGTAAAGTTCTATCTTATTTAAATCTCCATTATCTTGGGTTTTCTGTCACTTGCATCAAAACCTTATCCTAATATTTAAAAAAAAAAAAAAACTGCTGTCAAGCCAATTCCAACTCATAGTAACCCTATAAGACAGACTAGAACTGCTCCATAGGATTTCCAGGGCTGAAATCTTTACAGAAGTAGGCTGCCACATCTTTCTCCTGCACAGCACTGCTGGTGGATTCAAACTGCTGACTTCTCAGTTAGCAGTCGAGTGCTTTAACCACTGCACCACCAGGGCTCCTTCCTAACTAATACACATGGGTACTATTACCATCCCCTTTTCATGGAAGAGGCTCAGACTATTTGAGTGACTTATCCAAAAATGCATAAATGTGCCATTACAAGGATATCATATAAAAGACTCCTGCATAGAGGGAAAGTTATATTCACTACTTCCTGGTGGTGCAGTGGTTAACAGCTCGGCTGCTAACCAAAATGTCAGCAGTTCGAATCCATCGGCTGCTTCTTGGAAATCCTATGGGGCATTTCTTTGTCCTACAGGGTCACTATGAGTCCGAATCAACTTGATGACAATGACTTTGTTTTTGTTTGTTTGTTTTTGAAGCCAAATGGAATCCTGTGTGCCATCAAAATGGCTAAATGAGAAAATATTAAATACAAACATATTGTATTTTCTGATTATAGTTGTTGGAAAAAGGTGGGGTTTAACAACAACAAAACTAACTTATCAGACAAATGTCAATTATTTATTAAGCACCTGTTCTATTCTACAGAGTTCAGACAGCAAGATGACCATGGATCAAGAGATCAACAAAGCCCTAATCAGGAGGGGTTTGAGCTGGACTTTACAGAGGTAGCTATTACTTGTGTCCATAGAGAGGAAAGGACACTCTGGATAGAGGGAACCGTGTAAAAAAAGATTCAGCAGTAGGAAAACGCAATGATAACCATGAATTTATCTGAAGTTTTTACAAAAACATTTCATCCAATCAAAGAAAGTGAAAGTCGCTCAGTAATTACACCATCATGGAAAAGAAACACTAAGGTAACTATCAAAGATGGTAACAGAATTTTATAGTCCTACTTGTATCTTTAAATTTTTTATAGAGTCCCTTTGAGTATCATGTGTATGCCAAACAAACCACCATGGGACAATGATTGATTTATGCATTTTCTTCCCCAAGAAACACTCTGCAAAGAGATTAAAGAAAGTATTTTGCCTATATAGCCTTTCTCTCCCTTTCTTCTAGACACATGTGGCTATTTCAATTTAAATGTAAATTAATTAAAATTAAATAGAATTAAACATTCGGTTCCTTAGTTGCACATGTGGCTAGTAGTAACTGTATTGGACAGCCCATCATTG